CAGAGGAGGAAAGACATCCTTTCAGAACAAAGTCCCCCAAATCATTTTCAAATGGATGTCAGATCCTGGGGCCGTGAGAAGGATTTTAATCAACACGTCCTGGATTTAAAACCCCCCCCAATAAACTTTCCACTTCAGCCCTAGCAGATGGCTTCCCTCTCGCGGTCTCCATGTCCCCGTGTCCCTGCCCCCATTACTGGCAAGCTGCATCCAAGCCGTGACCTCTCCAGTTATTTCTGACTAGTTGTTTTATCTTTGGGTATAATGATGCTGGGGGAGGGGTGTCACACACGTACGTACATGATGTTTGGCCAAAGCTGCAGCACACCCCAGAGCCCAGCACACTCGCGCCCCCCCCCCATGAATGCCCAGCCGAAAGCCCAAGCAGGCAGCGGCCTGTACCAACCTCCGGGTGAGCGGGAGCTCCCGCTCAGCCGCTGGCATCAACATCCAGGAGGAGATGAAGAACATGACGCAGGGCCCTGCCGATGGGGCCCACCAGATTCCGTCTGCCCCGGGATGATTCTACCGAGCAGCAAATCCTCCTTGCAGCTCCCGCTGGACTCATCTGTCATCTGTGCCGCCCAAGTTCTCACACCCACCCCACAGCTCAGAAGAAAGAGAGGCAAGCCTGCTTTGCTGAGCAGCACCTGCGCACGGGACTGAGGTGAGAGGAGGGGACTGGGGCACCTCGGCCCTCTGGCAAACTCACCTGCGCAAGAGGAGCGCTGGCCTCCCTCCCCAGTTTTCCTACTCAGATCGCCCTTTTCCTCAGCCCCCTGGGGAGGAGGAGGAAGGGTGACTTGACTTAACACTCCTGCCGCTAGAAAGAGAAAGGAAGGAGAGGCTGCATCACAAAGGGGGACCCGCGCTGGGAACACGCAGCAGCTGCGGTGCTGAGAGGAGGGGAAGGAAGGACCTCTGTGCCATCTGCTGGAGCAGCCTGGAAATGAATCCTTCTCGCCTACTTGAGGCAGGAGATCCTCTTCACCACTCAAGGAGCGTGTGTGTGTGTGTGAGTGTGTGTGTGTGTGTGATGTCTCTTCTCATAGCACAAAGTAGTCATCCTCTCTTGACTGATGGTGAAACCCTTGAAGTTAATGCAACTGAGACTCTGCTGACAGTGCGGCATAAGAGCTGGAAGGGGCCATACAGGGGCCATCTGGTCCAACCCCCTGCCCCATGCAGGACCATCCTAAAGCATCCCTGACAAATATTCCTCCAGCCTCTTCTTGACAGCTGCCAGCGAAGGGGAGCTCACCACCTCCCGAGGCAGCAGCTGATTCCACCTCTGAACCACTCTGACCGTGAAAGTTTTTCCTGATACCCAGCCGATCCCTTTCTGCATGTCATTTAAACCCGTTGCTTTGGATCCTGTCCTCTGCTGCCAACTGGAACAGCTCCTTGCCCTCCTCCAATTGACAGCCTTTCAAATATTTAAAGAGAGCCATCATGTCCCCCCTCAGTCTCCTCTTCTCCAAACGAAACATTCCCAGGGCCCTTAGCCTTTCCTCGTAGGGCGCAGTCTCCAGTCGCTCTCTTCTGCACCCTCTCGATTTTGTCCACATCCTTTGTGAACTGAGGCCCCCAGAACTGCACACAATACAGCAGGATACAGAGGGGCTATGACCTCCTGCAATTTCGATACTACGGCCCTTCTAATACAACCCAAGACTGGATTTGCCTTTTTTGCCACCGTATCACACTGACTGCTCATATTCAGTTTACAGTCCACCCTTAGCCCAAGATCTCTATTGCATACACTACTCCCCAGAAACGTATCCCCCATCCAGTATTTGTGCTTGACATTTTTGTGGCCCAGATGTAATACCGTGCATTTATCTTTGTTGAATTGCATCCTGTTCACAACTGCCCACTTCTCCAGAGTATTCAGGTCTCGTTGAATTTTAACTCTGTCTTCTTGGGTGTTTGCTGCTCCTCCAGGTTTGGTATCATCAGCAAATTTAATGAGTAGCCCTTCTACCCCTTCATCCAGATCATTGATAAGAATATTGAAAAGGACCGGGCCCAAAACCGGGCCCTGCAGCACCCTGCTGGACACCTCCCTCCAATCTGATGAAATACCATTGACCACCACTCTTTGGGTGCGGTCCTCTAACCACTTCCCTATCCACCGAACCTGTCCGATAGTCCAGTCCAGAGTCTTCCAGTTTGCCCATCAGAATGTCGTGGAGAACCTTATCAAAAGCTCTACTGAAATTCAGGTAAATCACATCAATAGAGTTCCCATGATCCAGTAAGCTTGTCACACGATCAAAGAAGGAAACCAGGTGGGTCTGACAAGATCTGTTGGGGACAAAACCATGCTGACTTCCCCAGATCACTAAGTGGTCCTTCAGATGCGTACAGATCAATCCCTTTAAAATCTGCATAAGAACACCAGAAGAGCCCTGCTGGATCAGACCAGGGAGGGTCCCTCTAGTCCTCCATCCTGTCTCACACAGGGGCCAACCAGTTCCTCTGGAGGGCCAACAACCGGGCACTGAGGCCGAGGCCTTCCCCTGATGTTGCCTCCTGGGGGTCAGAGGATCAGTGCCTCCAAATTTGGAGGCTCCCTTCAGTCACCATGGCAAGTAGCTGTTGACAGACCTCTCCTCCATCAATCTTCCTAACACCCTTTTAAAGTGGCCTGTGACTACATCCTCCGGCTCTCGGTGTGTTCTCTACAGCAATACTTTCTGCTAGCTGTTATCCTGGCCTCTCTTCTCTCATTCCATCACCATCTGAACACAGATCAAGATGGGGCGCCATGTTAGTCTGTCTGTAGCAGGAGACAAGAGCAGGAGTCCAGGAGCACCGTCAAGACGAACAAACGTGAGCAGTGACTCACGGAAGCCCCTCCCTGCCACATATTTTGTTAGTCTTTGAGGTGCCCCTGGAGTCTTGCTCTTTTCTATCTGAACACAGAATGTAAGTTCCTATGGCCAGGATCCTTTCTCCTTTGAACACAGAATGTAAGTTCCTATGGCCAGGATCCTTTCTCCTTTGAACACAGAATGTAAGTTCCTATGGCCAGGATCCTTTCTCCTTTGAACACAGAATGTAAGTTCCTATGGCCAGGATCCTTTCTCCTTTGAACACAGAATGTAAGTTCCTATGGCCAGGATCCTTTCTCCTTTGAACACAGAATGTAAGTTCCTATGGCCAGGATCCTTTCTCCTTTGAACACAGAATGTAAGTTCCTATGGCCAGGATCCTTTCTCCTTTGAACACAGAATGTAAGTTCCTATGGCCAGGATCCTTTCTCCTTTGAACACAGAATGTAAGTTCCTATGGCCAGGATCCTTTCTCCTTTGAACACAGAATGTAAGTTCCTATGGCCAGGATCCTTTCTCCTTTGAGAAGAAGAGGAGATTGGATTTATCCCCCATGGCCCTTCACTACCCAAAGGTGTCTCAGAGTGGCTTACAGACTCCTTTCCCTTCCCCTCCCCACAACAGACACCCGATGAGGTGCAGGTGGGGCTGAGAGAGAGCTCTACACAGAAACGGCTCTTTTTTCAAGGACAGCTCTAGTCAGAACTACGGCTTGCCCAAAGTCATCCAGCCAGGTGCTAGTGGAGGAGTGGGGACTCAAACCCGGTTCTCCCAGATTAGAGTCTGCGCACTTCACCACTACACAAGAAGAAGACGAAGAAGAAGAAAAGTTTGGATTTATACCCCGCCCTTCACAACCCAGAGGTGTCTCAGAGCAGCTCACAAACAAACTCCTTTCCCTCCCCCTCCCCACAACAGACACCCTATGAGGCAGGTGGGGCAGAGAGAGCTCTACACAGAAACGGCTCTTTTTTCAAGGACAGCTCTTATCACAACTATGGCTGGCCCAAGGTCATCCAGCCAGGTGCAAGTGGAGGAGGAGTGGGGAATCAAACCCGATTCTCCCAGGTTAGAGTCCGCGCACTTAACCACCTGGCTCTTTGCGTATGGTATCCAGACTTCACTTGGGGGTAAGTAGGGGTAACATTAAGTCACCATCCTGCTGCCCCACAAGATCTTTCATCTTCTGGTGGAACTGGGGCTGGAGTGTTGAGTTTGGATGTGAGGAGGCAGGTTCCAATCCCCAGTCGAGCCATTAGCTGACTGGGGGGGGGTTATTTGTTTGGTGTTGTGGTTAAGAGTTCCTATCTATACCTTGTGGCTAATAGCCGCTGATGCACCTCTGCTCCATATAAGAACATAAGAGATGACCTTGGGCAAGCCATAGTTCTGATAAGAGCTGTTCTTGAAAAAGAGAGGTTTCTGTCAGAGCTCTCTCACCGGGTGTCTGTTGTGGGGAGGGGAAGGGAAAGGGGTTTGTCAGCCGCTCTGAGATACCTTTGGGTAGTGAAGGGCGGGGTATAAATCCAATCTCCTCTTCTTCTTCTTGAACAACCACAGCCTGTTTTCCTTCCCAGAGCCATTGTGACAATCCATGGCTGATCTTAAGCGGATTGGATGGCAATAAAACTAAATTCAGCCCAACTACACCAGCGGTGTGGTGCCCAAGGGGTCCCGATGCCTACCTGGCTTCCATGATGCTCTGCCCGGGAAGTAATTCTGTGCGTTGTGAAAAGATTTGGCGGGCGATGTCTTTTAGGAGGCCCGTGTGGCCGACCGCTGGGATCCAGCTCCGGGGCTGCCTCCGCCCCTCCCCCCAAGGCCAGAGGTTCTAAAACTGGTTGTTACGCCTCGGTTCTAGAACGCTGCTTCCGGAGCACCCGTTCCCTCCCTTGTCACTGTGGAAACTCCTCCATCTGAAGAGCAACAACGAACCTCCGGCCTTGCCATTCCCTCTCTTTGGCCAGTGGCGGCCAAACCAAAAGATGCGACAGGCGTCGTGCTTGGGGGCCCTCGCTTAGAGCCTCCCCTCCTTTCTGGAGCGGATGTGTTTCCCTGGACTCCGGTCCAGTCGGCGCTCCCCCCAGCTCTGGTGCAGAGGCTGCTCCCTCGCCCACCTCAGTGGGGCCCTCGTTCGGCCCTCTGGCGAGTTCCGCCTGTGCCATGAAGAGCTTTTCCAAGCGCGAGGCTGACCGGAGAATGTTCCTGGAGCAGGTCCGGGAGAGCAAGGAGAACGGCTACCTCCTCTCTTCCAAGAAGATCGGCTCGGGGGCCTTCTCCAAGGTCTACCTGGGTTACGCCACCCAAGACAAACTGATGCAGAACTACAAGCTGGCCTCAGATCTCCGGAGCAAGAGGCACTCCATGGTGAGCACCGAGGGCGGGGGGGGGGGGCGGGAGGAGGGGAAGGGTTCTGCTCAGATGCACCCCAGTTTTTTGGAGGGGAAAG